GTGATTTTTCTCTGACTAAAGCATAGCATATATTTGCCATTAAATGTTTCTCCCCCAACAGCTTGTAGCCCTCATTTGCAGATATCTAGAGATAGGAAGAAATTATTCCAGGAATTAATCACCCACTTTAGAAAAAATAAAAAATACAAAGGGTATCAAGCTGATTGCTAATTTTATTTTTCCTGGCTTCAGTTTCCAATCATTGGATGTTGCTTCACCTTATTTTGTTAGATTAAAGAGCCCTCTACTTCCCAATAATATTTCCCCATGAACTTTACATGGATTTTCTGATCAAGTTGCCTCTCCATCTTCATTTTAATAAGCTTAGCAGATCGAAATCTTAACCTCTCTTACTGCAGATCGTCTCCGCTCGTCATACTGTTTGTGGAGTTCTTTTTTACATCTTCTCCAGGTTTTTGACATGCTTGGTAAAGTAGACTCCAGAATCATGCACGGTATCAAGCAGAGGAAATGCGGCTGTGCGTGCAGGGGGGTTAAATGGTGCTCTGGTGCTGGCTCTGTGCATCATGCTTCCCTCTTCCCTGCGGTGTTCATGTTCAAGTGCAGCGTGGCTATTAAAGCCCTTTCAGAGGTACTCTTTCTCTCCTTTTTGACTGCTCCTCTGGGTTTGTGTTTGGATAGAGAGAAAGATAAAGGCAGATTTCAGGGTTAATGTTGTTACTCTTTTCATAGGCTTGTCCTTTTGCTGTGAGCAAAAAAAGAGGGGAAATAAAAGATGATTCTGTTTCCAGTGTAATATATAATAATACTCTGTTTCCAATAAAATATATATAACTATAAGGTGAAGGACATTTACTAGGTGGAATATTCCCAATAGTCCCTTGTCTGCTCTGGCCAGCCATTCTGGGCCAACACTCCTTGGTGCTGAGATCCATCAGAAAAGCCAGTGCCCGTTTATGTTGCACTCAAGCCTAGGTAAGCTCGGCATTGCTTTCCTCGCTATGAGGGATCACTTGCTCTCCAGGGCGGTTCGACAGCTGAAGCAGATGGGCACAGATTGTGCAGAAGGGTTCCCAAAACAATCTCTGTTAACTGTGGGCAGTACAAAAGATTCAGAGCTCGGTGTGAAGGAAGAGGACCCTGCACAGAAGTCCCTTGCCAGGACTTTTATCAGGATCTTTTTGAGCTTCCTTTGCCTTTTTTCTCCAGCTCTTCTTCCTGCTTCAGCTTTGCTCTGCTTCTGATCTCGTTTCTAAAATAACCGGGAGCAAGCCCTTCTTTTTAAAATAGCTTCCCACTCCTCCCGGCAGAGGACACATGGGTCAGACTTTGATCTCTTTATTAATCTACTAAAGAGGATGTACAGAAAATCTGGGTTACTCTGGGCATTAGCCAGACCCTTTGAGAAAAAATGCCTCCGTACAAACACGTTATTATCGAGGTTTAACAGCTTTCATCGTTGGTGTTAAGAACCTGAGGATTTCTGCTGGTACTATCCCCACATTCGGTTGGGTTGGGAAGGCTACAGAGGTGGGCACAAGGCATGCAAGAGTTTTGTAATCCCAACGGTGCTCAGAAAACAAGTCGTTTGCTGTAGGCACAAACAGATGCAGAGGGATAAATGCGTACACAGGTGTTATAATATTGAAGAGAATTCACAGTTTGTAATTCATGTGTGGCTGGAAACCCAGTAGCCACAAGTGCTTTAAAAAAAGAATTTTAAACAAGTGTAATCAATAGAATGAAATTATACCATCAACTGCTTGTTCTTCTGAGTTACATGAAGCATGTGTTCCCACAGTAGATCTTCCTGCAAACCTTTATAAAAGCTTGAGGTATCTGAATTTTGCACGACCCCCGCCACGGTCGCAAAATTGCACTTTTCATGTGTTTTTCTTGCCCCTTTGGCTGAAAAGTTGAGCCTGTACATGTCCAGCGAATAGCGCAAAGTTCATCCCATACATAGGCGTCGTATTTAGCTGTGCCCCTGAGACTGAAGAGGAAGGTGGATCTGCCCTGGGTTAAAGGGATGCCCGCAGCAGCCCATGTTCATAAAATTTGAACAATACAGCTCAAGCCATGTGGGCTCACAGCACATCCCATTTGTCAGAGCAGTGTCACGGTGTGTCCCGTCCTCAAGTGCTTGTAGTGAGTAGGAAACACTACGTGGCAGTGATTTAGTCATTGTGGGGCTTCATGGCTCCTCTCAGCCTGGTTTTACTGCATTGTCCAGCTGTGGTGGAGTGTGTTAAGCTTTGACAGAGATTATTCATAAATGGGAGGGTTTCCTTATAGTATTTGTGCTTTTGAAGGCAATTTGGTTCTTCCAGAGTTGTCCTTTGTGTATTTTTTTGTATATCCATGTAAATTTTTTTATTTTTTTTTGAGCAAGCAAAAAATGTTAAAGCAAGATGAATATATATATTTCTTTCAATAAGTAGGAATGTGATGGAAGATGCAGAAACCATAATAAAGCCCAGTCAGGTGAAAATGTTGGCACATTTTATTTCATTTAATTCATAAATGGAAGAAAATAGAGAATTTATTTGACTAAGTCTCTGGTTCAGTGTCTTGATGATATATTTGGAAAATTGCTCTGATATTGATGTGTAAGTGACCTTGAAAATGTCGTATTTAAGCGATAGCTCATTTTGATGTGAAGTTGTAAGCCTTCCCCCACCCCCTCAAATAAAGCAAGCAAAGGAAATCAGCAGCATTGAATCTAAGTCATTTGAAGGTAAAGGAGGAAGAATCTTGCCTCAAAACCCAAAACGTAAGTAAGTGACCTGAAAGGTCAAGCACCTAATCTGAGGTGTGCCTCTATTGCAGTGCCAATAAGATGCTGCTTTAGTGGGAGGTCTGCCCTGGTGGCAGCAGTCCCGCAGCCTTGGTGTCTGCTTTGGGAGACCCGGGGAGGTGCGATCAGACCCCTGAGAAAACCCAGTCCCTATGGTGGGTGACACTGCTAATTCGGTATGCAACATTTACCCTTTGAATCACATCATTCATATACATATGAATATATATATACACATACACTCCATATTTGTTGGTATTCACATATATAGAGATATATTCTATATAAATATTCTTATATTCATAAGCACTAATCTATTCATATGTATGAATATCAACAAAAATGTGAACATACATGTATATTTATTCTTATTATTTTGATTTGAGGGGGCACTAGCCAGATCTAACCTTGATTATTGCCTTTAATTAGTTGAACTAAATTACGTGTTGTAAATGAAGTTACATTTATGTTTTGCAGCCTGAGGCAGGGCGGGCCAGGGTCCATGCTCGGGCAGGACACCATCCCCAGCCTGGCATCAAGGTCATGCCCATGCAAGCCTTGCTGATGGGGCTGTACCTGATTTAGTGACCCCTGCCAGACCTGATCTGCAATTGCACTGTGCATCCAAGTCATACGAGTATCCCATCCCTTCGGCTGGGCTGTTGGCTGGTCCAAGACCTCAAAGATCAGAGGAGGTTTCCATACATACCTGATCTGTATTGCAGACCACATGGTTGTGCTTGGTCTAAACCATTGCATTGGTGGTGGTTTCTTCCATGAGCGGAGGCAGTTTACAGCCCCTCTGTGCACCCAACGCTGTGCTCACAACAGCAGCGGTGGTCCCTCCTTTGGAAAGAGCCCACACATGAAATTGTCCCTGAAACATGTGGTGGCACGTTGTGTCCAGTAAGAGTTGTAAACCTGTACATTATCTACCTACCTATCTATTAGGTTCAGATGCATTACATTTATTAACACATTGAATGTCCTTGTCACGATCCTGGCCGGTTATGATATTCGTGATATTGTGTGTAATAACACGGTAAAAGGTATATTTGCAGACTAATCCAGTGTCAGTGGAAATAGCATTGCTGAGAGGATTGGCTTCCTAATTCTCTTTTACTGCTCTGGGAACACAGACATAATACTCACTGCAGAAACTGCATTCTGAGGTAACAGTAAATTTATACATTCAAAACATCAGTAAAAAAGAGAAAATTAAAAGTTAAGCCCTAGACAGGAATGTTACCCGTCTTGCATTGTTTGACAAGCATGGTTTATTATATAAGTTTTATATTTGAACCAGACAAAAGAATATTAGGAAGTTCTAGGTATGTATAGCCTCACAAAGTTAATATTGCTTTTGGACTCGTTCCTGGGCATGATCTAATCTCCATTTAAGTCAATGAGGATATTTTCATTCACTTCAATAGGAGCTGGGTTTGCATTTTAATATGCATTAAAGCCTACAAAATTTGTGCAATAAAATAAAAATGGGAGGCCACACTTTGCACAATGGGGGGGCTTAAATGAAGCCACTGAAATAGCATTTAATCACCAAAGTAAGGAGCCTGATTTTCAAAGCTGCCGGCTGTGAGCAGTGGGGGGGATGAGCGATAGGTCTCCTTCATGCTCCGGTTGAGTTTGTGGTTGATGTGATACCACCGCCCGTATTCAGAACTGGCACTGGTGATTCATGGCTCGAGAAGACTTAAAAAAGGGGTGAATATAATGTATGGTTTATTCTGATTCCCACTGGCTTTGGTGGCCCCAGCGTGCTGAATCGGTCTGGCATCGGTGCTTGAGTTCACGTCTTCGTTACGCTGAAATGGTTTAGTCCTGTGGGTTACAGTTACGGTTTACTTTTAATGGAAATAACAAAATAAATATCTCCTAAAAGAGGTATGCTCTCTACTTTTATACACACAGAGCCATTCTATGCGAAGGACCTAAATAAAAAAATATATGGCTTAGGCGTAATGTTAGCTTTCTTGAAATCATAAATTTTCTTCCTTAATTGGGTGTGAAATTCCTGTCTACAAATCATGCCATTTTGCTTGATTTTATGTTCGTTGGTTTGATGAATAATGGGCTTGCAGTATTTTTAAACTTTTCCTGCCTACGGTAGCTCTCTGCTAAATGTCCTTCAAAAACCACGTCTTTGCTCAGTGCAAGGAATCCAGATCAGCTCTGACATTTACGTTTACACTCACAAATCTTTCCAGGGCCCCCCTGTGCAACGATGTGTGGGGGCAGGATCCGGCCAGAGCTCAGGGGCAGGAGTGTGGGTAGGTGGATGTGAAGCCTTCGTCTGGTGCAGCTGGATGAGGTGTGTAAGCTCTTTCGTCCCATTCCATATTTTAGACAGACAAATTTTGAAAACAACTTCATTATTCAACTGTTTTCTTCTGAAGCTGCGTTTATTATTTTTTTTCCCAGCAAGTCGATGCAAGCGAGACCTTTGGCTGACGGCTCAGTGACAAGCAAGGTGTTGTGTTTACTGCCACGAGACTCGTCGAGTCTTTGATGAGGGTCATGAATAATTAGTAGCATTTCGGAATCAGTGATTTATTTTTTTTTCTTTTCTTCCTTTGAGGGATGAAACAGAGCCCTGAGTACTTTGCTGTCGGTAGGCATTCCCGAGTGCCTCATTGCTGTCGTTTTAATTTGGGGACAAACTAGCTTCTACTTTGTAGCTGGTTTGCACTGAGTCCCTTAGTTTTGAAGCTGGAGGAGGGAGAGGCAGACTCCGGGCTCTGGAAATGCGTTTCTGTAGCACTTTGCGTGGCAGAAGCTGGAGTGGCCCTTGCACGTATTGAGGGTCAGTTTGCACGTGCCCTGGGGGCTGGGGTCAGGAAGGTGCATCCATCACCCTTAATCCTTCAGTCATCTTAAAGATTATGTGTTTTTATAGCTACTTTAAGCACTAAACCTTGCATTTGCACTAGCGAGGAGCTGGATTTGGGTGGGAAGGGGCATGCTGCGCTCTGGCAGCTGGGAACATCTGGGGGTGTGCTGTCATAGCGTCACCTCCATCCCGCGCTGCACCTTGTGCTGATGATGCGTTCTGCCTTTGCTGCCTCCCACTCCTCCTGCCCTCCTGTGTGCCCACTCCTGAGTCAGGCTCTGGGAATAAGCAGGCCGTTCATTTTACCTGGCCTTTGCTGATTGCCCAGTCTGAGATGTAGATTTGTGCAATTAGCTCCTATTCCTGAAAAGGGATGAGAAGAACAAACAACATCTTGTCTTTGAGGCTCTTCTCAATTGAACAACTGAGCTGATGGTATTAAGCAGGATGCCCCGTAGGAAAACCACTACAGTATTTCGAAAAAGTGATAATTAAGGGATTTTCTGTTGTACTTCTGTGTGATAGAAGTTTTTGGAAGAGTAGCAGATACTTCCAAGTCAGTCCTCTTTCTGTCTGTGCAGGAACCTCCCCGCATCTTGTTCATCATCTGCTGAAACTGTGAGAGTATGACTACTTACACTGGCAACTTTTATAACACAGGCTACTGACTCACTCAGCAAAATCACATGCTACATTATTTTTTGCATCTAGACCAATAATTTGGGTAGGAGAATAGCTTGTATTGTCTTGTCCCAATACCAAGATGCCAAATAATGGGAGATTCTGGCCCATCCCTGGCAAGCAGTTGCTCCTGCCAGATATCCTCCACATTGAGTGTTTGCAGTCTCCGTTTTCTGCCATCCACTCCCAGCCATCAGACCTCAATTTGCTTTTCTCAGCTAGATGAAAGAGCCTCGTTACTCTCGTCTGTCTTTTCCTTGCCCGTCTTCTTATGGACCACCAAGTTGTCTTTTAATCTTGCCTTGAAAAAAACTAACCAGAATTGAACTCCTTTCAATGTTAGTGCTATTGAGAGTATTCATGAAGGATGATCTGACTTTTAGGAGGAACGTATGTGTGAAGCAGATATCCATGGCGATGGGCACCTATGTAAACACCCGGGCTGACAGCTCCAGTAAACACTTTCTTGCAGCGCTGTGGCAAGTCCATTCATCACACGACCTATACACAAAGTACTGTCAAACGTGTAAGGTAAACTAACAGGGGGCAAAAAAGAGGCGAGGAAAGAAATAATGCTCTTCTCTAATACCTTTTTGTTTTAAAAGCCTCTTGGGTTTCTCATGACTATAGTAAGTACATAACTTTCAGATAATTTTTGGGTGGACAACGTCATTTGAAGTGGTCTGCTGACAGATGTGCAGCGAATCACTGGAAGAAGAAGGAGGGAAATCCAGTTTGCTGATTCTTTGTCCACTTTAATAGCCACTAGCATCTCCTTTTTTTTTTTTTTTTTTGCCTTTGCCCATCATAATGCAGCATCTCACTGTGTGCCACTTGCAGGAGCCATATAGAAAACATTATCCCATTATTTTCCCAGGAAAAGAAGAAAACAAGCCTTTAAGAGAAACAAGCACATAACCTTTGCATTGCTGGCGCATTGCCGAGCCCAAGGGCTGCACTTAATTTACATATAAATGTGCCCAGGATTTTAATCAGAGATTAATGCACTCTGTTGTTATTTTTTCACTTACAGTGTTTGTAATGCACGTGGTACTTGGCGAATCGCATAGGGTAAATGTACCTGGAGGAATGCAGTGGCAAGCATATCGGTGGCACTGCTTTTTGGATTGATGGCTGCCTTTATTTCTGAGGCTGCCCCGGGCCGGAGGAAGTGCTGGCTTCCGTCCTTCAGGGAGACTGCAAAATCTGGCCGAGGGCAACATGAAGAGCTGGCTTACAGACTGCTCGGTTGGATTTCAGCCGCCTCATGTAGAAATGCAGTAATGCCTCCATGGCGAAGCATCCCAGTGGATGGGAACATCTGTTTTTTCTGTCCTGTTAAGAAATGAATCTGCAAAATCTTGGAAATTTTCGGGGTTTAATCACATTGAAATTCTCAGGATCTCTGCTGGTGTTTCTTCTTGATTTGTTTAGCTCAGGCGTTGTTACCTTGTTCGTGTTTCTCTGCTAATTAGCAGGCAGCTGCGAAGAGTGCACCACAGAAGCTGTCCAAGAAAAGCCTTAGAGCTGCTCCCAAGGGCCTCTCTCCCCCTCTGCTCTTCTGCCCCTGAAAACAGAGTTCTGTCTTTCTTTAGTATCTGTTAATATCTATAAGCTTTGAAGTAAGTGAGGGGTTTTCTGAATTTGTTTTGGTTTTATCCAGGGATATTCTCAGTCTTTCCCATACTTTGACTGAGCTAAAATGAGTGAGAACCTACCTATGGACTGCCCCAGGGAATATTCTGTGGCTCCTGATCCCGGCTCTATATCAGCCTTGTTGCGTTCATGCCATAGTGATGAAGAAGCAGTGCTGCTAATCAAGTGCCATCATTAGTCTTACACCACATATGAAGATGAACTTTGACATCTGTCTGGAAGGTGTCACCCATACCTACATGGAGAGATTGGTTCAATATTCGGGCAGCGTGTGTATTCTTGTGGGTACTAACTTTAGACCCATATCTGGGCAGACAGCAAGGAGGCACTTTGTGCAGGACGTTCAACAATATGTGGTAGAATGTATTCCTGGGGCAACAGGAGGGTTTCCATGTGGATAACCTGAAAGAGAACAAAGACCTTATTATTTATCAAACTGCTGTGTGGTGGTGACAGGTGAAATGATAAGACATATTGAGGAAAAGGAATTAATTCATATCTCGGACCTTTTAATAAATAAAAGTATAAAGAAGATTTAGACCCATATCTGGGCAGACAGCAAGGAGGCACTTTGGGCAGGACATTCAACAATGTGGTAGAATGTATTCCTGGGGCAACAGGAGGGTTTCCATGTGGATAACCTGAAAGAGAACAAAGACCTTATTATTTATCAAACTGCTGTGTGGTGGTGACAGGTGAAATGATAAGACATATTGAGGAAAAGGAATTAATTCATATCTCGGACCTTTTAATAAATCAAAAGTATAAAGAAGAACCAGTGTAGCAGACCCGTTGGCAGTTGCTAACACTTGTTCAATGATCCTTTCCTTTTGCAACACAGAAATGGAAAGTAACTGTTGCCAGGAGTCATAAAGTGAAGGAATGACTCAGAAGATAGATTTATTATCAGCTCAATATCGGTGAAATTCAGCTTCATAAACAGAGGTTAATCTGCTAAAACCTGCGCTCTCACTGGGGGAAAACCCTACTTATTTCAAATTTTGTTTAAAGATCTAAAATAATTCTTCGTGTCTTCTGAATAAATCAACATGTCTAGGAATACTAATGTTCATCTTTTTTGCCTCATCCTTGCCCATGTGGATTTTATTTTATTTATTTATTTCCATGGGGTGTCATTTATTATGAGCTCTTCTCATCCTTACGAAGTAATTTCTCTTCTGGACTTCTAGGCATTTTCATCACAGTTCACTACATATTTCACCCATGTTTGTACAGAAGGTCATTACATAGCACAGGCTGCTGCCGACAAGAATATTTAGAATACACTCTGCCTTCATCTTCCAGTGCTGCGATGTTCACTTTTGTTGGGTGAATAATATATCTGAGCAAGAAGGACACGGATCTGACGCTACTAGAAAAAGACTTGGAATTGGTACATGGCTGGAATTGGTACTACTCTT